AGATGATATTGTATTGATTGACGAGATGTGAGATGGTGTGAACGCGCAATTAGAGGTATGGAGGCAGACCCTGGAGTCTAAAGGTTTCAAGTTGAGCAAGACCAAGACAAAATACTTGGAGTGTAAGTTTAGTGGCGGGATGGATGAAACGAAGACTCTCTTCCGGTGTTTTGTGTGATAAGAAGGATCCACCAAGACTGAAAGGTAAGTTCTACAGAGTGGTGGTCAGACAAACGATGATGTATGGGGCTGAGTGTTGGCTAGTCAAGATCGCTCATGTCCAGAAGATGAAGGTAGTAGAGATGAGGATGTTGAGATGGATGTGTGGGCACACCAAGTTAGTGTCACGAACCAAAATTCTAACCTGTCGTGATGACGCATATCTAAATATTAGGCAAGCCGACAACCTCAACAACCACAATATCTTTTCAGTTTGAAACCATAATATTTGAATTCCATATAAAATCTCACAAATACAGATATTAATACATTCCCAAAATTCGGTGTCACTAAGTACATGAGTATCTAAATGATAACAAAGTCTGACTGATAAAAATACTGTCTGAAAATATAAAACAGTACAATAACTGAAAGGAAGAGAGTCAAGGTTAGCGGACGCCAAGCAACTACCTTGCTAGTCTCCAATTGATAACACTCTGAGATCTAACAGTCACTGTATCCAGAAGCAACTGGATCTGCACACGAGGTGTAGAGTGAAGTATGAGTACAACCAACTCAATAAGTAACAAGACTAACCTTTGGGCTGAAAGTAGGGACGAGCTCAACTGGTACAATCAAGTATAGAAATAACAGTACAGAAATGTAGGTATGCTTTCAAGTTCAATAGTAAAAAACCTCGAGTACTCACAATCTCAAAATACTCAATCACCCAGTACTGTATATGGCCAATCCATCCTAGAAAAGTTCCATCCCATATATATATACACATCAACTGACAGTCAGTCACTCAATACTGTATAAGGCCAATCCATTCTAGGGGTAAATTTATCCCCAAATTTAAATGACTCGGACAAGATCCATGTCCAGGAAAATTCATCACAATGATAAATAAATAAGGCAAGTCCATGCCCTAGGAAGTCCATCCCGAATATAAATCATCTACGCTCACTGTGGGGGTATAGACTCCGGAGGGGCTCCTTCAGCCCAAGCGTGATATAAAATCGATATGGCATGCTATAGGCGGGCGGGCATCCCCGATCCATATAATAATAAAGCCTATAAGGCCTGCTGCAGCGGAAAACCCCGATCAATATAATAATAATATATAGAAAGCTGATATGGCCTACTGCGGCGCACAACTCGATCCCATCAATATCCTCACAATGGATGAACATGACTGAGTATGAAATGTGTATTTTTAAACAATTAAATTCAACAACAACACGACCCCATGAGTCCTAAAATATTGACATGTAGCCTAAACATGATCTTTAATACAAGTCTCAACTCAATTTCCCTAACACGTGGAGAATATTCGGATAATAACATGATTCTTTAATTTTGCAACTCCACAGAATTTATGTAAGTCATGATTTCTATGGTGCATGCCCACACACTCGTCACCTAGCATGTGCGTCACCTCCAACAATTGATATAACGCAAAATTCGGGGACTTCAAGTTTAGAAATGTTACTTATCTCAAACAGTGTGATTCTTTACTCTGCTATACCCTTGCCTCGCGAATCAGCCTCCGAACGCCTCGAATCTATTCACAATTAATTCGATTCAGTCAATACAAATTATAGGAATTAATTCCATCTGAAAATACTAATTTTTCAACAGAATCCGAAATTACACTCAAAAATTGCCCGTGTTTCCCATGTCTCGGAACTCGACAAAAGTTATAAAATATGAACGCACATTCAACCACGAGTTCAGCCATACCAAATTTACCAAATTTCGACATTAACTTGACCTTCAAATCCTCAAATCTTATTTTCAAATCTCTAGGTCCAAATCCTCTAATTTCACCTCAAAAATACGTAATCTAGTCAAAATACTCAATGATAATTCAATATTATTGACTAACAATGATCACAAGTGACGTACCTCAAGTTTCCCCGTGAATTTCCTCTGAAAAATCGCCCAAGCCGTGCTTGAAAGTCCAAAAATGAGAAATAATCTCGGACCCTTCGAATATATTATGTCTAGGGCTTTTCGCACCTGCGACTCACTTAGCCGCATATGTGGTCTCGCAGGTGCAGCTCAAAACTCCGCTTCTACGGTTGCCCATGAGTCTGCCTTCGTTCTGCGGCGAGCTAAGCGCAGATGCGACTCCGCATCTGCGGATAAAATTCCGCACCTGCGTGCGTTGCCTGGCTTCCTCACAATTTTTCGCTTCTGCGCCCCTCCCTTCGTATCTGCGGCCTCGCAGGTGCGGGCAAATTCTTCGTACCTGCGAGTACTTCCCTGTTCTACTCTTGGCCGCTTCTGCGATGTCTTGTGCGCACATGCGGCTTCGCACCTACGATCAAAAGCTTCGCAGGTGCGGTCGGCAACAGTTCCAACAATGCTTCAAGTTGAACTTTTTATCCATTAACCATCCGGAACTCACCCGAGGCCCCCGGGACCTCGACCAAATACACCAACAAGTACTAAAATATCATACGAACTTAGTACAAGCCTCAAATCAAATCAAACAACGCTAAAAATACGAATCACACCCCAATTCAAGATTAATGAAAACTAACAATTTTCAACTTCTATATTCAATGCCAAAACTTATCAAATCAAGTCCAATTGACCTCAAATTTTACACACAAGTCATAAATGACATAACAAATATGTTCAAATTTCCAGAATCGAATTTCGACCCCGATATCAAGAAGTCAACTCCCCGGTCAAACTTCCAAACTTAAATTTCTATTTTAGCCATTTCAAGCCTAATTTAACTACGGACTTCCAAATAATTTTTCGGACACGCTCTTAAATCCAAAATCACCATACATAGCTATTGGGATCATCAAAACTCTATTCCGAGGTCGTTTACATATAAGTCAACATCCAGTCAATTATTTCAACTTAAACTTTAAACCTTGGAACTAAGTGTTCCATTTCATTCCAAAACCTCACCGGACCCGAACCAATTATCCTGGCAAGTCACATAATAACTGTAAAGCATAAATTTAGCAGTAAATAGGGGAACGAGGCTGTAATGCTCAAAACAAATGGTCGGATCATTACAGTTAGATAGGATCAGAAATGAGGTTATTTGTGACAAGGTAGGTGTGACCCCTATTGAGGACAAGATGCGGGATGTGCGGCTTAAGTGGTTTGGTCATGTGAGGAGGAGGAGCACAGATGCCCCAGTGAGGAGGTGTGAGTGGTTGACATTGGAGGGCATAGGGAGAGGTAGAGGTAGGCCAAAGAAGAGGTGAGGAGAGGTGATTAGGTAAGATTTGACGCAACTTTAGCTGACCGAGGACATGACCCTTGATAGGAAGGTATGAAGGTCGAAAATTAGGGTAGTAGAGTAGGTAGTATATGGTGTTCATAACAGTAGTATTGGCACGCAGTTTCACTTTCTGTTGGTAGTATGTTTTTATGACTAACCGTTATTTTATTCCATTGTTGATCACCTTATTATCTTGTTGTTTTATTCTGCTTTAATATGACTTTTTGGTACTGTCCTTTTATGTCTATATTTTCATTAATGTGGTGCTTATGCTTTCATGAGCCGAGGGTCTATTGGAAATAACTTCTCTATCCTCACAAAGTAGGGGTAAGGTGTGCATACATAGTACCCTCCCCAGACCCCACGGTATAGGATAATACTGAGTATATTGTTGTTGTTGTATCATGTTTCCAATTTCTTAGAGAATTGAATTAATAGTCATCGTAATTTTTCTAGCTTCAACACTTGCATTTTATTTTTTCTATTATGGAACAAAAAGATTTTTTTTTTTAATATAATGGTTGCCAATATACTAGATATGGGACAATTCCTTTCTATACGAATCTAACGTGAAATCTTACTCTCTTTATTACATTACTTTATTTATTTAGGAGACTCATTAGCTTGTTATTTAGTACAAATTGGTAATATGACAGAATCCACAAAAATTTTAACAGGCTCGGGAGAAATTCCGGAAAAGCCTTACGAGCCCATCTCAGTTATTGTGTGGTGTACCTGCAACCTCCCACTGTTACCGTATTAAGTAACTTTGTCCATAAAAGTATATGCAGATGAAAAGAAAATTAAATTTGTTTTAGAGTTTGTATAACTAGCGATAAAGATGTTGTTCATAACCTGCTACTATTTTCAGTGATCTACAGCTTGTTTGAATGGTTGTTATGTATCGCTTCATAATGTATCGTGTTGTATTATACTGTATCGTTTTGATGTATGCAATATTTAGATAGATTGTATTGTTTTTCGTCATTTTATGATATCATGCACTAACACTATGAAGAATAACTTGCAATATTATAAAAAAAAAAAAGAGTAAAGTACAAGGTAAAATTATTATATAAAAAGGTAGGGTAAATGATAAAATAGTATTATATAATAATAAGAAAGGGTAAGATGAGAGAAAAAAAAAGATAATGACGCGACTTTATAAAAATAGGCGAATAATACTATTACGAAAAGAAAAGGTTTTGAGTTCAAAAATCATTGAGTTTTAGCCTTGAGCACTATCTTTTATATTCTATCCATTTTATTATTTTGATTCGACACAAAATTTAATAAGATAAAGAAGACCTTTAAATTCTACGATCTTAAAATAAAAATGTGTATAACATACTAAAAATACTATTTGAATCTTACAATGTTAAACATATCATATTATTTCCTATAATGAAGTGTTGTTAAACTGAAAATATTGTAATTAAAAATTATAAGAATCGAACAAAACAGACTAAAAGGAAAGAAAGACAAATGAATTGAAACAAGGGAGTAGGTGATTGGTTGGTTGTTATACATAATTTAATCCATTTGCCATTTGACTTCCGGGATTTTTTATACAGTGAGAGTGCAAACAAAACTTAATAGGGAAAATGGTCAAATATATTCCTATACTTTCGAAAATTATATATATTTAACCTCAGTTATACTTTACATACAAATATACCCCTTCACCGCCTAATGTAAACACAATTAGATAAAAATCCTTCACTCTCATTCATCTAAACCTGGTTTAAAAAGGTTTTGGATAATTTATAATTTTGTGAGAGTTTAGCTTTTTATTTGGACTGAATTCATAATCAGTATTTTCTAGCAAAATATATGGGTTGAAATATGAAGATGAGGTGAAGAAGAAAGTTAATTTATGGAGAAGAAGATTGGAGGGGCGGCAGTTGGTGATGATGGAGGTTCCGTTAGGGTTAGGGGTATTTGTGATAAGTTTGTTAACAGTATGGGTATATTCGCACGTAAAATATAACGGAGGTTAAATGCAGATAATATTCAAAAGTAGATGAGTATATTTGATCATTTTTCCAATTTAATATACCAAACGTGGATTACTAACATGAAAAAAGAAGATAAAGTAATCTACTATAGTCGAAAAAGAGCAACTCGATACGTAAAATATTTCACATTCACGTAAGGTGCGGGGAAGGCCGCCGTTCCTACACTTTATTTCTTTCAGTGAAGTTTCAACCGAAGAGCTTTCTCCAATTGAGAGATCATCTTTTTGTTTTGGGATTGTCTTTCTATTCTCGTAATCTTGAATGATTTGCACCTTCACTTTTAGCTTCTGAGTATAGTAAAAACATAGGTTAGTTTCTCCCTCCATCTCATATTAACAGTCGTGGTTACTAAAAATAATTATTTCAAATTATTTGTCATTTTAGTAGTTCAAGACAAAATTAATTATTTTTTTTTTTTTTTTTACCCTTAGTAATAATTGTTCTTGAAGATGGAGATAACACATAAATAGAATAAATATTCGATGAAGAGAGATTATATCTTAAGACATAAATAAGGGTAGAATAGTCCAATCCTTTTCCTAATTAATTTCTTAAGGGGCGTATAAAAGAGAAATACGGCACATAATATGAGACAGAGGGAGTATCAAATTGAGTTTTAAATTTTAAGTTTTATGTACTGACAGAGTATAATAATTACAGATAAATCTCTTGATAAACATTATTAGGTAAGTTTTATGAAAATAGTAACTAACATGTTATGGTAGCAGTTATGGAGTCGCATGCAATGAAGATTCAATTAAATCATATGCCGTCTAAAAATTATATTGTGTAAATAATGTGAATTTTTTTATGTATAATAAAATTTTTGAATCACATTAACATAAGAAAATTGCATGTTCGTCATTTTTTGAACTTTTTTGAAATTCCTTGTTAGATTTTTGGTTTAGCCACTGTATCACAAATTAAAATTCACAATAGCATATAAAACTTAACATAAGAAAAATGCAAGTTCAAATTTACACTATCAGCTTATAAATTAAACTTTAAATCCTACCAAATTTTCTGTCTATGTAAGCTGCAGATTAAACATCAGATATACCTTAGCAAGTTGAGTTTGAGTCATATACATGTTTTCTCGAGCTTGCTTGATATCCTCCCTCAACTTAGTCTTGTATAAATCTGAAAATTAAAGAAAAATCAATACATTGATATGCAGCTGAATTCTGAACTCGTCTTTACATGACTCCTGATTTTTCTTTTCTGATTCCGATATAAAATTTACCTAAGACAAATTTTACAGAGAATTCTCTTTCGGGTTCAACCGTTAGTGGTCTATGAATTGTTACATTTAACAAATATAAAAAATCCTTAGAAGAATTATAATACACAAAAATTAGAAGAAGATCAACTAAGTAAGATCAAAATATACTGTGATGACCCAAAAGGTCATCTTATGTTTTAGAACTCGAATCTGCACTCTTAAGCCTTAAAAATCTCATTTTTTACCCTCCTCGATTTGTGTGCGCAGTCCGGGCAGGTTTCCGAAAAAGCTTTTATGTTAAAAACTAATGAAAATAAGAATTTTTGCCTTAAAAGTTGATTTTGGTTGACTTCGCTCAATATTTTTGGTAAACGGGCCCAAATCCATGCTTTGACGGTCCCGGTAGGTCAGTATCAAATTATGGGACCTGGGCGTATGCCCGGAATCGAATTTGGAGGTCCCTAGCTTGAGTTATGAATCTTTGATGAAAATTAAAAGGTTGGAAATTATTTGTTTTTAAGAATTGATTGATATTTGGCATTGTTAGTATCGGGTTCGTATTTTAGTTCCGGAGCCCGGTACATGTTCATTATGATATTTAAGACATGTCTGTGAAATTTGGTGAGAAACGGAGTTGATTTGACGTGATTCGGACGTCCAGTTGAGAAAATAAAAATTTTAAAGTGTTCTTGAGAATTTTATTTGAATTGGTGCTAAATTTAGAGTTCTAGGTGTTATTTTGGCGATTTGATCGCGCGAGCAGGTCCGTACGATATTTTTAGACTTGTGTGCATATTTGTAAATCTGGTTTTTCTGCAGAATCTGTGTTCTGGCATGTCCTTCTTCGCGTTCGCGAAGGCACTCTCGCGAACGCGAAGAGTAAACTGGGCAGCTGAGGATTTCTTCTTCGCAAACGCGAAGGCTTGGTCGCGAACACAAAGCGATGGGGGCGTTACCCTTCGCGAACGCGACAAGCCCATCGCGAACGCGTAGCGTTAGGCACTAGGGAGGGAGAGTCAACCTTTTCTTCATCGCGAACGCGAGCAATGTCTCGCGAACGCGAAGACCAGGGAAGGGTAGCCTACACGAACGCGATCACTGCCTCGCGAACGCGAAGGCTTGGCAGGCATACACTTCAAGAACGCGACAGTGCTCTCGCGAACGCGATGAACACTGTCGCCCAGCACTTAACAGAATCCAAAACGGGATTTTTGCCAAAAAACTCATTTTTCTCAAAAACCAAACGGTGAGGGGCGATTTTTTAAGAGTCATTCCTTCCCCAAATTGTTGGTAAGTGATTCTAAACCATTTTCTTTCAGTTACCCATTACATTTCTTGAATTTTTAACCTAAAATCTAGAGTTTTCATCGTAGAATTAGGGGTTAGGGTAGAAAATAGGGATTTCGGAAATTTGGGGATTTAGACCTCAATTTGAGGTCGGATTTCAAAACTAATTACATATTCGGGCTCGGGGGTGAATAGGTAAAAAGATTTTGGTCCGAACCTTGGGTTTTGACCAAGCGGGCCCGGGGTCGATTTTTCAACTTTTTGGAGGAAAAATTAGAAAATTTAGTTTATGAAATATAATTGATTCCTTTAGCAATATTTGATATTATTGAGTCATTTTTGAATAGATACGAGTGGTTTGGAGGTGAATTCCAAAGGAAAAGCTGTGATTGAGAATTAAGTGGCCTTCGGAGCGAGGTAAGTGTTGTGTCTAANCCTTGCCTTAACCTCGTCACTACTTCATCGAGGTTAGGCTCGATACTTACCAGTACATGAGGTCGGTTGTACTGATGTTGTACTCTGCACTTTCTATGCAGATTTTGATACCGGCTCAGGTTGATCGAGATTTGCTATTGGTCCGCTGTCCGAAGACTCAAGGTAGATCTGTTGGCGTTCACAGACCTTGAAGTCCCCGTCTATCTTTTTATGTCCTACTGTTTTCTTTCATTTAGACAGTTGTATTTCTTTCAGACTATTACTTATAGTAAATTCTAGAATGCTCGTGAATTGTGACTCCAGATCCGGGTGGTAGTAATTAATACTATTTTATGATATTTTGCACTTATTATATTTTATTTTAGTTAATTATTGTTATTTACTGAATGGAAATAAGGAATTGGTTTAATGATTCTCTAACGTTGGCTTGCCTGGCAAGTGGAATGTTAGGCGCCAACACAGTCCCGTCGGTGAAAAATTTCGGGTCGTGACAGTTGGTATTAGAGCAATAGGTTACATAGGTCTCACGATTCACGAGCAAGCTTAGTAGAGTCTGGAAGATCGGTACGGAGACGTTTGTGCTTATCTTCCAGAGGCTATGAAGTTTAGGAACAAGTTTCACTTCTATTCTTTCTTGTCATGCGATTTTACTTTCTCAATACTGATTGAACTCTTCTACTCTTATTCTCTCGCAGATGGCGAGAACACGTACCACTTCCTCAGCTGAGCAGCAGCCAGAGCCTCCAGTGATAGCTCCTACGTGGGGTAGAGGTCGAGGCCGAGGCCGTGCCAGAGGCCGAGGCAGGTGCAGGGCTCAGCCTAGGGCCCGAGCAGCAGCCCCAACAGTGGAGCCTCAGATAGAGATTGACGAAGAGGTTCCAGCCCAGACTGTTCCTGTCAGACCAGCTCAGGTTCCTAAGGGGTTCATTGCTACCCCAGTACTTCAGGACGATTTGGTCAGTTTTGTGGGCCTTATGGAGAGTGTGGCCCAGACTGGCGCATTTCCCAAGGCACCAGCAGTCTCTCAGGCTAGAGGAGGAGTCCAGACTCTTACCACTCCTGCTCCGGAGCAGATAGCTCCCCAGTAGCAGGCTCCAGCGGCTCAACCAATTGGGTTAGTTCAGCCGGTTATTGCGGCACAAGTCGGAGATGGGTCATCTATGTCTTCTGAGGCTTTATGGAGATTGGACAGGTTTACCAAGCTTTTTCCTGTTCACTTCTGTGGTGCTCCTTTAGAGGACCCCCAGGAGTATCTTGACAGTTGTCACGAGGTTCTACGGAACATGGGTATAGTGGACACCAATGGGGTAAATTTTGCTGCATTTCAGATGACTGGTTCCGCCAAGAAATGGTGGAGAGATTACTTGTTGACTAGACCAGCTGGGTCGCCTGCTCTTACTTGGGACCAGTTCTCTCAGCTCTTCATAGAGAATTTTTTGCCTATCACATTGAAAGAGGAGCGTCGCCGTCAGTTTGAGCATCTCCAGCAGGGCGGTATGACGGTTACTCAGTATGAGACCCGTTTTGTGAATTTGGCCCGTCATGCTATTCTTCTGCTTCCCACCGAGAGAGAGA